TTAGATATGGAACCTGGTCTCCCCTTTGGCTAGCCCCAGACCCTGGGCTGTCTTTGAGGACTCTGATTCTGAAAGCATTTATTCATTAATTCTTTCCAGAAACTTTTTGATCACCTGCATTGTATGCCAAGCACCTGGAACTCAGAGACAAATGAGACAAGATTCCTGCTCAGAGACTTAACTGCCTATAGAGACAAATAGGCCTGTAAACACTGGGCCCAGTAAAGCCTTCAGAAGTATCCGTGGAGCCAGCAGGGCACAGTCAGGGGCAGAAGGGTGATGCCAGGCAGAGGCTGAGAAGCACCAGGTGGTTTGAGGAGACTCCATGTGCTTCTGCATCATGCAGTGTGGGCTAAAGGAGTACAGCTGGAAGGATACTGGCTAGGTCACAGAGGCCTGAATGCTCTGCCGAAGCATCTGGACAGGGCTCATCTTGTTCTCTGTTGCCGTTGACCTGGGTCTGAGGCACCTGGAGTTTCTCTTCTCCAAACTTCTCTAATTCTTGACTTTGTTTAAAGTCACGGAGATGGTTTAGTGTAGGCAAGACTGCAAGTTTTTGAGCCAGACTGCCTGATCTTGAATCCTAGCTCGCTAGCTCTGTGACCTTGGACAAATTATTTAACCTTTCCACACTTAGGTTTCCTCTTGTACAAATCGGAGACAGTGGCTGTCTTTTATGTCATGAGGTCATTGAGAGAAATTAATTAAAAATGTATAAGATAGTGCTTAGGACAGTGCCTGGAATAGAGTAAGCAATTGTACGTTAGCTATTACTTTAAAAATAATTTTTGTTCTCAGAGAAATATCTTTTTTTAAATTTTCTGATACCATATTTTATTATAACAGTTTTTAGATAGAGCTTTCAGAATATACTTAATCTCTTTCTTTCCCTCTCTCCTTTTAAAAAACCTGGCACTTACTAATTATTGCAGATGGGAAGTGTGTACCTTTTAACCTCAGCTTCCCAGCTTATATTTATTTTTGTGTTTACAGATGACACTCTTAAACCTAGTTTAACATGTTTGGATAATCAGACATATAGTTGATTTGCAATGTGTGAAAGAATATGGATAGATTGTTGGATACACCCCTTCGTTCATGTCACTTATTTGGCAATTGTCATTTATTTGCTTCTTATTAATATCAGTAGACATTAATTGAACATCCTTATTCTGGGTTTTGAGTTAGACAGAGATCTAAATGATACAGTTCCAGCTCTTGAGAAGCTCATCGTCCTCCCTAGAGGCCTTCGTTTGTACTTTAAACTCCTCTTTGTGTCCTCCACAGTTACCTGATTTGGTTTGAACCTACTAAATCTTAGTTGAATGTGCTGCTTGCTGTCTTAGGTGTGGTGATGTGCGTCTGCTTGCGCGTGCACTCACTCACTCAGTCCTGTCTGACTCTGTGACTCCTGGATTGTAGCCCGACAGGCTCCTCCGCCCATGGGATTTTCCAAGCAAGAATACTACAGTGAGCTTCCATTTCCTACTCCACGGGATCTTCCCGACCCAGGGATCGAAGCCAAGTCCGCTGCATCTCCTGCATTGGCAGGCGGATTCTTTACCACTTGCGCCGCCTGGGAACCTATCTTAGGTATTTGTTTATTAAATGATCTCTGTAGGGGAAACTACTCAAAGATTTTGACAGGGCTTTTCTTCCACCATCAGATGTGAAAGAAATCACTTTGAGCAGTCTATGCCTGTTAAAATAAGCATATGTTTTGGTCAAAATTAGGGCCAGTTGTGCTTAAAAAGTAAGGACACCCTCAGTGTATGGTATGATTTTCCGTTTTCCTTAGTTTCTCTTTGGGCAGTTTTTAAAACTCAGATAATCTGCCTGCTATACTTCTCTAAATAGCTTTTAAGGCTTTACCACAAAGAAATATCTGTTCTCATTCAATAGTGAATAACCAACAATGCCCATTAGTGGAATAGGCCTTCCTTTTCTGAGCATTAACAAGTATACTTTCACTTTGATTAGAAATACAATATTCACTAATTCTTACTCTTGATTTAAGTTTGAAAATTGTCATGACATGGAAGTAAAGAAAATTAAGGGGACTATGTTAGGATGACAACTGTTTCTAACAAAGTGAGACATGCCAAGACTTGAGTCATGAGGTGTAATATCTTCAAGACCAGTGTAGGGGAAAGAAGCCGGGACCCAGTGTCTATGGGAGCTGAGTGGTTGAAGAATTGAGAGGGCAGAGGGCAGCTATCTCTGAGATACAGTTGATGAAGATCACCCCATCTCAGTCCTAATTCTAGACTGATCAGTTAAAGAGTATATTGGGACTTCCCTGTTGGTCCAGTGGTTAAGACTGCATGGTTCCAGTGCAGGGGGTATGAGTTTGATCCCTCATCGGGGAACTGCGATCCTGCGTACACATAACATGGCCTAAAAAAAGCATTTTTTTTTTAAAAAAAAGGTATGTAGAAAAGATGATGAATAAGAAACTGCAGCCATATTCTAGGTGGTGGTCAAATATGTTAACAGTCAGGTAGATGAGGGTCGATGAGTAACATGTCCTACTTTGCTAGTGGGCCAGTTTGTTGTTGTGTTAGTCACTCAGTCATATCCAACTCTTGCGACCTTCTGGACTGAAGCCCACTAGACACGTCTCTCCATGGGATTCTCCAGGCAAGAATACTGAAGGGGGTTACCATTCCCTTCTCCAGGGGATCTTCCCAACCCAGGAGTCGAACCCAGGTCTCCTGCATTGCTGGCAGATTCTTTACCATCTGAGCCACTAGGTAAGCCCCAGGAAGCCAATTTACAAGTATTCAATTCTAGAAGAAAAGTGGATCAAACCAGATCCAGTTATTAGTGTTTCAGCTAAATAAGACTCTCAAGGCTCCAGGCTTAGAGGAGGGAATTAGAATGTTCATCAGGAGTGTTGTTAGGAATTAAGGAAGGAGAGCCTCTCTAGAATGTCTAGAATTCTGGGTTGGGGATTAGGGTAAATAGGAGTGCTTCAAATGACCAAGCTACCCTTGGTATGGGAAGGTTTGGATTACCAGTTATAATTGTTGAGAGTATGAATCAGTATCATGTCTGTGATAGGAAATTTGGCAAGATCTGTCAAAATGTAGACTGCAGTTTCACTTCTATGAATTCATCCTACAGAAGGAATCAAACAAGTGAAAAAGGCTATTTAATGAAATGAATATAAATCAGTAGGGACTTTATTAAATAAATTGTAGTGTATCTATATAGCGGAGAAGGCCATGGCACCCCACTCCAGTACTCTTGCCTGGAAGATCCCATGGATGGAGGAGCCTGGTGGGCTGCAGTCCATGGGTCGTGAAGAGTTGGACATGACTGAGAGACTTCACTTTCACTTTTCACTTTTCACTTTTATGCATTGGAGAAGGAAATGGCAACCCACTCCAGTGTTCTTGCCTGGAGAATCCCAGGGATGGGGGAGTCTGGTGGGCTGCCATCTATGGGGTCGCACAGAGTCGGATATGACTGAAGCGACTTAGCAGCAGCATCTACATAGAGGTATTGTTTATAGATTTACTCTCTAATTATTAAAAAAACATTAAAAAATCTGACATTATAAAATGTCCAAGGTATTCACTAAGGAAAGAAGCAATTTTAGTAGAATATACATATTAATTGTCTATCTGCATGTATAACTACTATCTATTGTTGTTAGTCTCTAAGAAAACCCAGCAACTTCTGTATAGTGGAAACTTATTTTTTCTTATACTTTTTTCATATTGCTTTACAATTTTATGACAAGCACTTCACCAGAAGACCAAGAAGATAACTTATCTATTACTCTTCACTGCCCTGCTCTGAGAGGCTGTGTTTGTGTACATTCAGTCATATGTATTTTTGGTAACTCACATCATAGTTGCCTCTTGGGGAGAACATAATGAGATCTAGCAGAAAAGTACTTCTTACAATATAGGAGTATCTTATATTGACCAAAGCCTCCCTCTTGTAACAATTATGAACTCAAGGTAGTATATAAAAAGCAACTACTTGAAGACCTTGGAGAGTGACAAAATGAGGCAGAAACTGACAGGAAACTTGAAAGATAGGGATTGCACTGGGTAAGATTCTCATTTCTACAGCTTTTTTGCCTGAGGACATTCTTCAATTTGCATGGTGGGTGATGGTTGGCACTCAAGCAAAAGTCTGCGGTCTTGCATTCTTACTTGGGGAGTCAGAGGATGGAATTCAGGGCTATAAGAGAGACTGGAAAATGAAAGGATACATCTTAGAAAGAAGGGAAGAAAGAAGGAGAAGCCCTAAAATCTACTTTAATCCTTGACATGCGTGGAGGAAGACTCCATGGAGCTTGGAAAAGGTGTTGGTTGAAAGCTGAAAGAATTGAGCTGAAATTCAGCTTCTATCCACTACAGGAAGGACAGAGTTTAGAGTATGAATATAGCCTGAGTTGATTGCCCAACAAAACAAAATTCTTTGGAGGGAAATTGACAGAATCCAGAATCTCTATAATGTCCACTATACAATAATAGCTGAATGGCTCTATGGCTCATTGTCCAGAGAATGGCAGTCAATAGAAATTACCCCAAGATGACTCAGATGTTGAAATTACCACATAAGGACTTTAAACTTGGTAGTAGTAAATGAACAAATGGAGACTCTTCCCAGAGAAATGGATAATATATTAAAAAAAAAAAAAACCAACTGTAAAATCTAGGACTTAAAGTACAATATCTGAAATGAAAAGTTTATTCTTAGCAGCAGGTTGGAGGTGGCTAAAGAAATGGTCAATGAACTTGAAAATAAAGGAATAAAAATTATCTACTTTGAAGAACAGAAAAGATTGAAAAACAAAAACAGAGCCTCAGTGACTATGAAACAATATTAAAATATATGTACTTGGAGTCCAGGGGCTCCCCAGTTGTTCTGATAGGTGAAAAATAAGATCTTGGTGAGATCTGAAAAGAGTTTTCTCTTTTCATGAGAGGTTAAATATCTTGTGGCTTCCCTGGTGGCTCAGTGGTAAAGAATTCACCGGCCAATGCAGGAGACATGGTTCTATCCCTGGGTCAGGAAGATCCACTGGAGAAGGAAGTGGCAACCCACTCCAGTATGGAAAAAGCTACGGATAGAGAAGCCTGCGGTCTCTAGTACATGGCATCACAAAAAGACTGGGACATGACTTAGTGACTAAAACAACAATTGGAGTCCTAGAAGGACAGGAGAGAGAATATCTGGCTTGGCTGCAATGATATCTGTCACCTTACTTGTTTTTCTCTTGACCCTAGTGGCTTACTTATAACCAACTGAATAGAGGTGAAAGTGATATCCAAGCTACATAGAGCAACTGCATGTAGGTATGCAGTCAGCAGTCCTGGCTGAGCCCAGCATTTGAGATATTCCAGCTCAGGGCCCATCATGTGAATGAAGAGGCCTCCAGATGGACCCAGCTCCCCACCTTTCATCTCTTCCAAGGTGAATCAGAGAAAAGCAATCCCAGTTATTTCATGAATAGATTTCTAGTGTGCAGAATATGTGAACTTAGTAAAATGCTTTCTGTTTTATAGCACTAAGAGTGATTTATGATGCTGCAGTAGATAACTAAAACAAGACAAATTTTCTTTGAAGAAATAATGGCTGACAACTAAATAAAAGAACAAGTAACCAAGTTAAAAATGGGCAAAATGTATGAATAGATATTTCTTTAAAATACACAAATGGCCACAAACACATGAAAAGATATTCAACATCATGAGACCATCAAGGAAATGCAAATCAGAACCACAATGGCTACTAGGATGGCTATAATAAAAAAAAGATAACAAGTGATGATGAGGATGTGGGGAAGTTAGAACTCTCAAATACTGCTGATAGGATTGCAAAATTGTGAAGCCAATTTGAAAAACAATGTAGCAGTTCCTTAAAAAGTAAAACAGTCACCATTTGAACCAGCAATTCTCCTAAGTGTATATCTAAAAGAAATAAAATTGTAAGTCCACATAAAAACTTGTACTTGCATTTTCATAGTAGCATTATTCATAATATTCCTTAAGTAGAAATAACCCACATGTCTATCAACTGATAATGGAGAAACAAAATGTGATATAGTCATACAATGGAATATTCTTCGCTATACTAAAAAAGAAAGAACAAAGTGCTGATTCATGTTACAACATGGATAATCTTTGAAAACAATACACTAAGTGAAAGAAGCTACTCACAAAAGACCACATGTAACATGATTCCACTGATATTAAGTGTCCAGAATAGGCAAATTTATAGAGACAGGAAATAGAATGACAGTTGTCTAGCTTTGGGAGGCAAGGGGAGATTAGGAATGATAGCTGCAGGGTATGTTTTTGTTTTTGTTTTTCCTTGGGGGTAGTGAAAATGTTCTAAAATTGATTACGCTTATGGTTTTGCATCTATGTGAATATACTAAAAAATGGTACATTTTAAATAGATACTGCAGGGTTTCTTTTTCTTTTTCTGGCCACTTGCAGATTATAGGCTTGGACTAAGAGTATTTAAGATGCCTTTCTAGCTCTGGAATTCTGTGACTCTCCAAATCTAAGAATTGTCACTTCCCAACATTGTGGTCCATTTTCACAAAGATGTCTGGGAGCCTTTGTCTGCTGTCTCTTCAGCAAATTGCAGTGCTCTGGGAGAAATGAAACTTGATCCAAATTTGTTTTTCCATCTTGATTTCATCTTAGCCTCTATGCTTTGTAACAGTAACAGATGGCCAGAAAATGTTTTCCCACATTCTTCAAGTAGGATAAATACCAGGCTTCTATTACCCTTTTCAGCCACCTTTGGACTCAGTGATATCATTCTGGATAAGGAGCACAATACTGAATGAAATTTGTGCCAGAGGTTGTTGGATAGTTTGAGATTAGATCTCAGGCCAGTGGTTTCCTTGGTTGAGCAGACCTCCACAAACCTCCCTGACAATCACCTTTTAACCTATTCTTTATTATTATGATAAAATACAGGCAAAATCAGTTGAGACATTCTTACTGCATTTTTGAGAAGCAGTAAGGTAATATGTGTTTTTTTGTCTCTTTAAAAGTTAATTGATAAATAAAAAACAAAACAAATGTATATCATTATTACTATTACGGGAGAACATCCCATGGTGGTCCAGGAAACCTGCCTGTACTGTCAGTAGTCCTAAGAGTGTAATTAAAGAACCCTTGGTCATTTTGTTTGTTCAGTTTTGATGGTTACTTACTTACTTGCATATTTGGTCACAGAGCTGATGGCACAGTAACCTCTGTGGTCCCTTGTCTGTGCCTTGGTAGAGACTGGGCATTACTGCTCGGCTGCTGATGACTTAGCTCTGGGCATACTTAAGAAAGATTTTATTAATCTGCTTGAGTTGATGAAGTGCAGAAAGGTCTTTGATGGAGGTACACTATAACTTTATCCCCTTCTCCCCCCCACAAAAAACAGATTTTTTTCTTCTTATACAGGTTAAGCAGCTAAAGAGCTATGGTAGTTTGTAAAAAGGGAAAGGATGTCCTCTAACCATTTCTGAGATAGCTTATGAATCTATTCTGTGCCAGATGTGTTTTGAAGGAATATATTACTAAGCGGAGATGTTAGTAGCAGAAAGTTCAGTGAGCAGAGCTGGGTTCATGCTCTGCCCCTTCCTGTCCTGTGCACCTTGGGCAAATGACTTTATATCTGAACCTCATGTTCTTTTTCTTTAAAGTGGGGATAATGATGCATATTTCATATGGGGTACTGCGAAGACTAATTGAGATAATGTTCCTTTTCAGAGTGCTTGGTACAAAGTAAAATGTACTTTAAAAAAATGTTTTAAGGCTTGAAAACATGAAAAATGACGTTTATTTTTTATGGAGCTGTAGATAAGGCTGGTTCAAGTAGGATAAATACCAGGCTTCTATTAGCCTTTTCAGCCACCTTTGGACTCAGTGATATCATTCTGGATAAGGAGCACAATACTGAATGAAATTTGTGCCAGAGGTTGTTGGATAGTTTGAGATTAGATCTCAGGCCAGTGGTTTCCATGGTTGAGCAGACCTCCACAAACCTCCCTGACAATCACCTTTTTACCTATTCTTTATTATTATGATAAAATACAGGCAAAATCAGTTGAGAAATTCTTACTGCATTTTTGAGAAGCAGTAAGGTAATATGTGTTTTTTTGTCTCTTAAAAGTTAATTGATAAATAAAAAACAAAACAAATGTATATCATTATTACTATTACGGGAGAACATCCCATGGTGGTCCAGCAAACCTGCCTGTACTGTCAGTAGTCCTAAGAGTGTAATTAAAGAACCCTTGGTCATTTTGTTTGTTCAGTTTTGATGGTTACTTACTTACTTGCATATTTGGTCACAGAGCTGATGGCACAGTAACCTCTGTGGTCCCTTGTCTGTGCCTTGGTAGAGACTGGGCATTACTGCTCGGCTGCTGATGACTTAGCTCTGGGCATACTTAAGAAAGATTTTATTAATCTGCTTGAGTTGATGAAGTGCAGAAAGGTCTTTGATGGAGGTACACTATAACTTTATCCCCTTCTCCCCCCCACAAAAAACAGATTTTTTTCTTCTTATACAGGTTAAGCAGCTAAAGAGCTATGGTAGTTTGTAAAAAGGGAAAGGATGTCCTCTAACCATTTCTGAGATAGCTTATGAATCTATTCTGTGCCAGATGTGTTTTGAAGGAATATATTACTAAGCGGAGATGTTAGTAGCAGAAAGTTCAGTGAGCAGAGCTGGGTTCATGCTCTGCCCCTTCCTGTCCTGTGCACCTTGGGCAAATGACTTTATATCTGAACCTCATGTTCTTTTTCTTTAAAGTGGGGATAATGATGCATATTTCATATGGGGTACTGCGAAGACTAATTGAGATAATGTTCCTTTTCAGAGTGCTTGGTACAAAGTAAAATGTACTTTAAAAAAATGTTTTAAGGCTTGAAAACATGAAAAATGACGTTTATTTTTTATGGAGCTGTAGATAAGGCTGGGCTTCCCAGGTGCGTTGGTGGTAAAGAGTCTGCCAACCAGTGCAGAGACACCAGAGACATGGGTTCAGTCCTTGGGTTGGGAAGAGCGGCGGGAGTAGGAAGTGGCAACCCACTCCAGTATTCTGGCCTGGGAAATTTCATGGATACCGGAGTCTGGCAGGCTACAGTCAGGGAGTCAGAGTCAAACGTGACTGAGCAGCTGAGCACACAAATAATTTAGGTTTTGCATAGATACGTGGTACCTGTTTAGTACAGGCACTCTGAGACTGTCAGTGCTAGTAAGCAGTGTAACCTATTCTTGTCTGTGTTTGTTTCGCTTTATTTGAAGTATGTTCTTCTTTTCAGAGAGAAACATACTTGAAAAAGTTTCTGTCACTTTTCTTGAAAACAGATTTTTATCAGATGCAAAATTAGCTCATCTTAGTGATTCTCAGCAGGGAGGCCTGCTCCTGTATATTAAAGGGATCCTTATCCTGTCTCGGTCCCACCGTGATTCTTAGCTGAGGTGGGGAGGTGGGGCCTTATCAGAGTCTGTGCAGAGGAGAAAGGAGACATTCAGCCCTCAAAATTAATTTTATGTCTTCAAAAATTATCTTTAAGATTAATTCTTCTGAGGGGTGCCCCACCCCGATTTTAAGCTGAGGTGGCTTCCCTGAATACTTAAGAGTAAAGGAAGGGTGCTGGAAGGAAATAATTGTAATATCTTATTTAAATACAAAAGGGGCTTGAAAAAGAAAGCCACCTGGTACTTAGTGATTTTATGTAAATAATGCTGAGTTCTGTTTTCTGCTTTTCTTTCCATCCTTCAAGACTGTGTTTCTTCTTGGTTCCTCAGGGGTTTGTGCTGTATGTGTTTACTTTCAGTTGTTTTACATCGTGAAAGTATTTTAAGTTGTTCTCTTTTTCTCTTTCATACCCAGTCCTGTTTCCTTGTAGGTGGCCATGCTTTATAGGAAAAGAGGAATTCTCTTTCCCTCTGTGGCAAGTTAGTTTTCAGAGAATAGGAGGCATTATAGAAAACTTATTTTTTTAGTTCAGAGAATAATATAGATTCATACTCAGTAACTGTTGATTAAAGTTTTTTTATGAATTGGAATCAGTAAAAGTCTGTGTAAAGGTGTAGGATTTTATTTACCCTATTTAGATGCTAATAGCCCCCTGCGGTTCTCGCTTGCTGGTGGCACAGCACAAGACTCCTGGGTCAGAGAGAAAGGACTTTCTTAGTCATGGCCCTGCAAGCAGTGTAAACATAGGTTTGCCCTGGTTCCCTTGAGTCCCCGTAGGTCCCACGGGACTGGTGTGAACGGGCCCAGGCGGGTGCCTGTACATGTGCTATGGGAGTGGAGCTCTGAGTTTGGGGAATCCATTGCTTTCATGGTACATAGTAAGCAAGCCCGTTCTTTGTACTGGAGAGGAACATTGCTTCATCCCTCAAAGCTGCTCTTCCCTAACACAGCCCTGAGAAGCGGCTTGGGTCAGGAGCGCTCAGGGTCGTGTGTTTTGTGTTTTTCTTACCCAACAAGACATGTAGGAATGTGAGAGACCTGTGCAGGAGTAGCTCTCCCAACAGTACCTATATACAGTAGGTCACTGATAGACATCTTAGGAAGATTTACTGTAAAATATTTGCTATTCAGAAAGGTATAAAGAGCAATATAATGAAGAGCCATGCAGTTACCTCCCAACTTGAGAAATAAGCGTTGCCCATCCAGGTGACACTTCCTGTGGACCCCTCCCCATGTCCCACAGGCAAGCACTTTCCAGAACTTGTTGTTATCATGCCAGTGCATTTCTATGTGTCTCTTAATATCATACAGTACTGTGTGTTTTTAAGCTTCTAATTTTTTTTTTTACTGTCATTTAAAAAATTGTTACAGAGCCCCTTTACATGGTACCATCTTAGTCACCGTAGAAGAAAAGTGTAGAGATAAAACTCTTGCCAGTCATGATTTTAGGATTCAAGGGAAACCAAAAACACGGAAACACAGCTTAGTAAAAAGGAAAGGATATGTGTGGGGAAAAACGTTGGTAAACAACACATAACTCTATAAATTCAACTATTAGCATCTAATATGTGCAAGCGCTAAGTATAGTTACAGATGGAGGGAGAAGTGGGATTCATTGTTGGCGAGAAAAGAGTGACTGCGAGAGGCAACAGCAGCGAGAACTTACACAGTGAGGTTCATCAGATAGTTTGTCACGCGGGAGCCGGGGTGACGCTCTGAGGACCTGGCCTTAAGTTGATCAGCCCACAGATGAGAGGAGGGAGCTGGGAGTAGTCGGTCAGCAGGGCAGTTGCTACAGGGTATGAGGAAGGTTGGTATTCTGTCAGTTAACCATGTTATCAGGAGGGGTGGCTGACACTCAGCCCCTGACCTCAGTGATTACAGATGGGAAAATTAGAGGACACCCAAGACCCTCTCTGATGATTACCTGAATGTGTGTTACAGATTCCAGGGATGTAGAAGGTATGAGTTTCACATGGAGTTTCAACACTGAAGCAGTTAAGGAAAGAAGGTCTCAGTGAGAAGTCAGAGTTGAGTCTTCAACGGCAAATCGTGATGAAGGTGCTCCAGGAAGAGGGGTGGGTGGCAAGAGCATAGGAGCAAGGGCTGGAGACAGTGTGTGTGGGGAAATTAGCAAGATGGCACTAGTCAGGCTCTCTGGCCCCACGCTCTCACACCCTCTGTGCTGTAAACAATGACTTTGCATGGCTGTGTAACAGCTGAGATCACTTACGGCACTGCGCATGCATGGCACGAGGTACTCACTTGGTCATGGGCTACTTTATGCAGTAGCCTGTGTGAGCCTCACCATGGAAGCCCTGGCTGCCGCTGCATTGGTTCTACATTGGAGTGGCATCAGAGTTATGTTATATGAAGTTATGTTATGGCTGTCGCTGCAGCTGCTGCGTCAGCCAGGAGAGAGGCTGTGTTACGGCTGCCCTGCCAGTCAGGAGAGACTAAACGTGTCTGCAGGTCTTACAGCTCCTTGAGTCTTCTTCCAGCCTCTTAGCTTATGCTTTGCCTACCCTGGGTTCAGCGAACAGTGTGAACAGCAAGACCACTGGCATCAGGAACAGGATCGGCAATACAATTGGCATCGTCGGCAGGATGTGAAGGGATACCGTGTGAAACAGTGAGAGGGCAGGCCTGTGTGAATTGTTTATGTCAAGGCCCCTTGACCTGTAGAGTTTCCCATGGCCTGAATTCTGCTGATTGCACACTTAGGGTACAGTTCAGAAGTTTTCCTTTATATTTCCTGCAAATGAGCAGCAGGACCCAGTAGTGTGATGACATTCAGGTTCAGTTCCTTTGGCAAGGCCCTAAGTGGTTGTGTTCTTTTTTCACATCAGTAAAGATGTATGTAAGGATCTGGGGTTTTGCTTTACCCTACTTAACAAGCCAGTAATTAATCTGTTACTGTTTTATATCCTCACCTCATAGAATTCCCTCTTCTGTTGTTTCAAGTAGTGTTTAAACATATAATGGCTTGCTTTCTGATACGTCCTGGTCTGTTACCCCCTAACTCACTGCCCCCCTGCCCAACTTTTATTTGGACTATCTGTTTTCTTCATTTCTGTCTTGTTCAGTTTGGATTCCTCTCCCAGAAGTTTTTCTCAGTGTGGGGACCCATCTTAGGAAGGAGCCTTGGTGAATTCCATGAGTTTATAGGGTTAGATTGCTTCAGCTCTTTTGGTCCTTTTGCCCAAAACCCCTCCAGTTTCTGTTACTTTTCTCAAATTGATCCACATTGCTCTTCACTGAGTACTTGGTCATCTTGGGGTCCTTCTGTTCTCTGTTTCTCTGACGCCCTGTTGTTTTCCTCTTTGTTGGTTTGCACAACTGCTTATAGCACTCATGTCTTGTGGCTGTTATTGTTCTTTTCCCCTCCTGCTTGTATATGGGGGTTTATGAGGATGCTTTATCTTACAGTTTTGTTTTTAATGTTATTCAAGGGCTTCCATGGTGACTCAGTTGGTGAAGAAAGCCTCCAATCCCAGAGGCCCAATTCTGATCCCTGGGTTAGGAAGATCCCCTGGAAAAGGAAATGGCAACCCACTCCAGTATTCTTGCCTGGGAAGTTCTATGGACAGAGGAGCCTGGCAGGTTGCCGTCCATGGGGTTGCAAAAAGAGTCATACACAACTTATCAACTAAACCATGAGCTTTTAAGTTGCTATCTGGTTGTTTTGGTTTTATATGGGAATTATATCAAAGGCTATATTGCTGCTGCTATAACTGTTTCTGCAGAATTGTTATTGTGGGTTCTTGAGTAGAAAGACGATGTGATTGTGACTGAATATGTCTCACCTAACATCTTACACTGTCTAGAGAGAGTGTGGTTGTTAGTCCACATTCATTCTTTAACTTTCTCATTTATCCATATTGAGACGTGTTATTTGTTTATAATGCTCATTTGCAGATTTCCATGGAAATAATAGCTGCTTACCATCACTCTTTTCAGATTCACTAAGAATCTTTCCCCGGACAAAATCAATTTGAGCACCCTGAAAGGGGAGGGTCAGCTGACCAACCTGGAGCTGGATGAAGAGGTTCTACAGAATGTGCTGGAGCTCCCCACCTGGCTAGCCATCACTCGGGTTTACTGCAACAGGGCGTCGATCCGGGTGAGAATGTGGTCAGAGGGCTGCTGCTCTCTTTGGCCAGCAGGCCTGCCCTCTTGAGGGCTGCCTCCCATAGCCCTGAGTCTTTGCTTTCCTCTTTCAGATCCAGTGGACAAAGTTGAAGACACACCCAATTTGCTTGGTAATTGCCTTTCTTGATTGCAAGTAATCAAGTGGGGAAGGCGGGGGTAAGGTTTTAAAGGAGCTGAGAGAGGATGGGGAGGAGTTAGACAGGCTGTCCCTCCTGGGAGTGTGGGTGCTTCCATCTGGCTTGTGAGCTCCGCTGTGAGATGGGGTGACTGTGGTCTGGGTTTTTTCTAGAACTGCTGTGCAGTAGAGCAGGTAGCTCTGAGACACGAGTCCTGAGCTGGTCTTGCTTTGAATTTTGGTTTTTATAACAAGTTTTGCTGTCCTGATAGAAGCTGATAACAGTTTCTGTCTTGACATTTCCTTTGAATTCCTGTTGGAGGAAAAATTAGAAGTTTATTCACCCAATAGTTGACTATTGGGTGATTCTCAGCTAAAAGCCCTTCGGGAACTGATACACACACACACACACACACACACACACACACACACACACCCTAAGGACTGGAATCCCCAGGAATAGTAACTGATACACACACACACACACACACATCCTAAGGACTGGAATCCCCAGAAATAGTAATATCTCTATAACTCAGACTTATACACTTTCATTTTTTGCTGTGAGCTAATGCTTGTCATGAATTTCTGCTGCTAATAGAAATAGAAGGGGGAAGATGAGGCCTCTCTTTGTATTTTAGTTTGTTTGTTCATTCATTTGACAAACATTTATTGTTGNACACACACACACACACACACACACACACACACACACACCCTAAGGACTGGAATCCCCAGGAATAGTAATATCTCTATAACTCGGACTTATACACTTTCATTTTTTGCTGTGAGCTAATGCTTGTCATGAATTTCTGCTGCTAATAGAAATAGAAGGGGGAAGATGAGGCCTCTCTTTGTATTTTAGTTTGTTTGTTCATTCATTTGACAAACATTTATTGTTGGTCCACTGTGGACACAGTACTCGACTGGGTGCTGGAGCGCAGAGATGGATAAGACAGTCTGTGCTATGTGGGGCTTCATGCAGATGCTTAGGTCTCCATGGTTTTTATTTCAGTGTCTGGATAAGGTAGAGGTGGAGATGAAGACCTGTGAGGAGCCTCGGCCGCCCAATGGACAGTCTCCCATTGCCCTCGCTTCAGGACAGAGGTTAGTTGCTTTGGGTCCTATTATTTCCAGTGTATCAATGAGTCCAGATCACCTTTTAGTTAAAAATTAGCAACTTTTCATTATGGAAAATTTCAGACATACACTAAATAGTGTAATGAGAGAATAAGTGTAATGAACCCCCATGCACCCAAGATCTAACTTTCACAATTATCAACAATTTACTATTCTTTTCTACCTTTCTTCTGCCACTTTGTGAGTGTGTGTGTGTGTATGCACACACTGTGATACTTGAAAGCAAATCCCAGGTACCATGTAATTCCATCTGTAAATACTTCTGTATTATGTGTCATTAACGTAGATAGAGAAGAAAGAAAAAGACTCCACAATACTATTATCACAATTAGTAGAATTAATAGGGATTCCTTAATATCATATAACACTTATTTCATATTTAATTTTCCTGAGTTGTCTCTAAAATATTTTTTACAGTTCAGTTTGTCTGCGAAGAGCTCCACACCTTATATTTGGGGATATGCCTTTTAAAGTTATTTAAGGGTTTCCCTGGTGATCCGGTGGTTAAGAATCCACCTGCCGATGCAGTGGACATGGGTTTGATCCCTGGTCCAGGAAGATTCAACGTGACACAGGGCAGCTTAGCCTGTGCACCATCACTACTGAAGCCCATGAGCCTAGAGCGCTTGCTGTGTGATAATAGAAGCCACAGCAATGAGAAGCCTGTGCACTGCAACTAGAGAGCAGCTCATGCTCACTGCAGCTAGAGAAAACCCTCGCGCAGCAGCAGAGACCCAGCACAGCCAAAAAAAAAAAATAGCTTTTTTTTTTTTTTTTTAGTTTAATGTATTTTAATAGCAAACTTACAGGAACAGCACAGAAGACAGACAACATTAAAAACATGTATTTGCATGTAGGACAACTCAGTTAGAAAAGTATAGTGAATGGATGGAATCTACTGTATGATAAAAATGCTACAAACACCATTTAGTTGCAGTCAATATTGGACTTCTGATAACGTCTGATTTCACGGAGTGCCACAGTACCAGGCCTGTAACGATGAGGTTTCTTCACCCCTCCAGGAGAGGGCGCACTCTTGCGAGCGGCTTTTGTACCGAGTTGCTTCCTCGGTGCTTTACCACCGGTCGATTTGCGGGCAGTCTGCTTTGTACGAACCACGGTATAGACACCTCCTTACTTACCCCCCTTCTCCTTCGGCTGGAGCTCGGCTAGCTAGAGGCAGCGCGGCGGCGGCGCGGCGTCGGCTGCGAACACCAGCATTTTTTAAAAAAGAAGAAAAACCTTAAAAAATAAGGCTCTCTAATTTTAAACAATCCCCAATCCCACACTTTTTTATATGTAATTTATTCTTTGTAGAAACTGGATTATTTCTTCTAAAGAATTCCCCATATTTTGTATTTTGGCTGATTGGATCCTTGAGGTATTATTTAAGATGTTTCGTTTAATTTGGTAGTAAAGATTTGATTCATTTGTTCGTTTTCTTGGTGAGAATACTTCATGAATAGTACCATGTATTTCCTATTGTAAATAATGGGAGATGCATAGCATTCCTTTGGTTAAGATTAACCAGTGGATTCAGATGATGTTGGCCTGACTTGTCAATTGTGGTAAGTTCCTCAACTACCTCTCACCTCGTGGTTTAGGAACCATTGATGATAGTTGTCTGTAGATCTATTATTTCAGTGAAATTAGAAAATAGAGATTTTATATCTCTTTTTTCCTGTTGCATTTATTAGTTGTGATGTTCTATAGAGAAAACTTCACAGAGACTTTCTTTCAGTAACTATTAATATTTGATTACTTTGAAATACAGTTTGTACAGGAGTGTCAGGATAAATGCTGAATTCTTTACCTTTATTTAGCAAATTTAAGATTTATGAATTGACACCCTAATAATCTCTGGAGAGATTTCTTTTGGGTGGGGAAGAGTGAAGGAGGTTTATCATTTCGAATCCATGTATTTTTTACATTGTTATTAAGGTGTAATTGAGGGAGAATAGATTGTACATATATAAAGTCTACAATTTGATAAGTTTTGGTGTATGTATATGTCTGTGCAACTATCAGCACAATCAAGATAATAACATATCCATTCTCTCAAACCTATTGTTGATCTCCCTGCCCTTTGCCCTTCCATCCCAAGGCAATGACTTTCTGTCACTATAGATTGGTTTGCATTTTCTGTAATGTTTTCTAAGTGAAATCATGAAGTATATACTAGTTTTTAGTGGCTTCTTTTATTCAGCATAATTATTTTGAGATTCATCCATGCTGTTGAGTTTATCGATAATTCATTCCTTTTATTTATTCTATTTAATTTATTTATTTAGGGTTTGTGGCCGTGCTGGGTCTTTATTGCGGCATGTGGGATCTTCCCTGATCAGGGATCAAACCCTGGTCTCCTGCACTGGCAGACAGATTCCCTACCACTGAGCCACCAGGGAAGCCCAGTTCATTCTTTTCATTATTGAGTACTATTCCATGTGTAAGTTGATCACAACTTGTTATCTATTCACTTGTTAATGTTCATTTTATTTCCAGTTTTTGGCTATTGCAAATAATGCTGCTGTAAACATTCATATACAAGTTATTGTGAGGTCATGTCCTTTTATCTCTCTTGGCTAAATACCTAGGAACGGAATAGTTGGATGGAATCGTAGATGAGGATTTAGCTTTTTAACAAACTGTTGAACATTTCCTAGTTGATTTACCATTTTACATTCATTTTTCATTTTTTATGTGCCTTTACATTTTTTACATCCTATGTTTATATTTTCTCATAAGATATATTTGTTGTATACTTGATAGTACACAACACCTTTACACAATACCATTACAGTCATTATTATTTTTGATGTTCAGTTGTCCCCATCTTTGGCCAATGAGAGCCTTTCAATATCACCTGTATCCTTTGGACAAGGTCCCAGTAATCTTTCTGGTTTTATACAGAACAAATCAGGCTTCTCTTATTCTCTTCTCTTTTATCCTTACCTCAGACCTGGAATCAGACATTTCTCCAAGCAACCTGATTCTTTTTAGTGAGAAATGTTATTAATATTTCTTTAGAGACAGTAGTCTGGGCAGAATTGTATTCATTGTGTCATCACTGCTTTAAAGCCTTTTCAGTTCTAGAGAAAAAGTATTTTTTAAGAAAGATAAAAATAAATCATGATAATATCTTAAATTTCTCAAATTGAAAAAAGAGGATTTTGAGTAACTTTTTAGATTTACTATTTGCATTTTTAAAATTAATTTATTTTGAGTGAAACAAAGATGAATATTTTTAATGACAAAGAAGATAGACATCATAAACCATCAGACACCTAATAAGAAAGAAACAAAGCAAAAATCAGAAGAAATATAAGGGAAAGAAAAAATATATAATCACAGTGAGACATGTTAACATTTTTCTGAGAATATTTTATCAAGTGCATAAAAAATAAGAATAGGAGCATCTTGAATGATGTCATTAATAATTTAAATGTAACAGATTTCTATTTATATTAATTTATATTATTTTTACATCCTATACAAACATATTTAAAATTTTATATATCTTATTTCATTATTAGATGTCCATAGGACTTTTAGAAAAGCTGGCAAAAAGATAAATGTTGCTAAATTTCAAAAAGTAGAATTCCTTTTTTTTTGTGATTCAGTTACATATATACACATATATTATTTTTGAAATTATTTTCCATTATAGGTTATTACAAGATATTGACTATAGTTCCCTGTGCTATACAGTAGCCTTTGTTGCTTGTTGCGTATCTATTTTTTTAGATGAGAAAAATAGCATCCTATTGATACTAAGTCAAACAAGTGGAATCAAAATATCTTAAATTTTTTAGTTAGGCAAAAATTTACAAATTTTCTAAAATATATATGTTATACATATTATGTATATAAAGGTATTAAAGAACTTTTCTACTATGCTTGATAAAGGCTTGAGAAAGAATATATATAAAAAAAAGGAGACATGAAGAAATTGGAAAATAAACTAAATGAAATGGGAGTACTGAATATGAAATAGAAAAAGTGAAACCAACTAGATAAAAGTAAAAGTTCCTCATATAGTCCAGTTGTTTTTAAACGTGGCTGCTCATTAGAAACATATCTGGAACTCTGGTGAAAAAAAAAGCAGTACCTGGACATTTGTAGTTTTCAAAAAATTCCAATATAATTCTGGTATGTGTATGAATTTTAAAAAGTATTCCAGGATCTTCTATTAAATGGTAGTTTTGGTGATATAGAATTCTATTATTTTTCTGTTGACCAATCATGATACAATGGTATTATGAGTAATCACAGTAGTGAAAGATGTTTATCAATTTTCATAATCAATAGCCAGACAAAAAAAAAGGCAATTACAATTGCAAGCCATAATGGCAATGTGATTAACCTAACAATGTAAAATAATTACATACAATTTGGGGGGTAAAGCAGAGTGATGTGGTAAGTGAAAATGCATACATCCACCTGTTTTCACCTGCTCAGCCTGTCTATGCCTTTTGATTAGGGCATTTAATCCATTTACACTTAAGGTAATTATCCATATATATGATCCTATTACCATTTTCTTAATTGTTTTGGGTTTATTTTCTCTTGTTTCCTGCCTAGAGAAGTTCCTTTAGCATTTGTTGTAAAGCTGGTTTGGTGGTGCTAAATTCTCTTAACTTTTGCTTGTCTGGAAAGCTTTTGATTTCTCCATCAAACCTGAAGGAGATTCTTGTTTCATAAAGTATTCTTGGTTTTGGTTCTTCCCTTTCATCACTTTTAATATATCATGCCATTCTCTTGCTTGTAGAGTTTCTGTTGAGAAATCAGCTTATAGCCTGATGGGAGTTCCCTTCCTTTTCCCTTGTTGCTTTTAATATTTTTCAGGGCTTCCCTGGTGGCTCAGATGTGAAGAATCCGCCTGCAGTGTGGGAGACTAGGGCTCGATCCCTGGGTCAGGAAGATCCCCTGGAGGAGGGCATGGCAACCCACTCCAGTATTCTTGCCTG